TAATGTGTGTAGGATTTATAGGATTATTAAATACCACATTAAAAAAAAAGAAGCATATTTAAAGAAAATTTAAAGAAACTTAAGGAAGAGAAATTTCTAAAAACTTTAAAAACATATTTTCTGCCTTATAAACGTACTTTTTAAACCCTGAAATGTAACTGCATTTACTTAAGTTAGTCGTTCATATGTTAATGAAGAGTCAGTGTCTGAAGTTTTATTTTTTGAAGTTGTTTTTGCCTAAAACACTTTGAAGCAATTCTATTTCATATGCTACTTCATTTCTGTTTTGAAAATTGAATTCCATGGTTAGTAAATTTGATAATCCACACTCCATCAGTTAATGTTTTTTAAACTAAAGAAAAATTACTATTAAGTCTAAATCTTTTTCGCTTGGTTAGAATTGGTGTGGAATATTGTTATGCATTTTGAGGAAAGCAATTATGGAATCATTAAAAATCTGGAAGTATTCCAGAAAGTCAGTTTCAATCTGAGGTTAAATTTTGTCTTAATTTAAATGTCACATTTTGGCAAACTTCCCTTTTGTATGAGTAGGGGTCTTTCTATTTTTTTAAAAATAAATGGCAGTTATTTAAAACTGATAATTCACTAAATATTTAAAATTAGGTAAAAAAGGAACCTTATACAAATACCGCTTTTATTAATCTGGCGTCAGGCGGAACGGCTTTAACCCACATCCTTTTTGTGAATTGTGCCAAAGGGTAGTTGTAATAAGAAGTACAGTACAAAGTCCGTAATCCGGACTCGTCGGGACTTCGGCTATTCCGGATTAGGGGTTTTTCCGGATCATCAATTTAAATCTAGTAAGATGGCATGCAGAAATTATACAGTTAAAAATATGAAACGGTAATTTATGAAATAAAGAACAATTATGATCTAAAGGGTATCAAATCTTACAAAAAAAAAAAAAAAAAGCTTAATATATATTCGTTTATTTTATTGAACATTTCTTTCAATGCGCGCATGCGTAAAGCATACATTACGCGCATGCGTTAAGTTTGTGGCTTTGAGGTCCGGATTATAGATCATTCCGGACAATGGACGTCCGTATTACGGACTTTGTACTGTATAATGGAAATAATACCGCTGGAAGGCGAAAATGATGTTCGTAGTCATTGAAAAATAAAGGCAAACTCCTTATGCTGAAAACACTGAAAGAGTTAAGATTTTAATGATTGCCTAAAAGAATTTGTTAAGGGTTTTTACGCTCTTGCTGAGCTCGCAGTCTATCAGACTGCTTTTGCACTCATTACTACTAGCTTTATGCACAGTTTTCTTCGCAGTTACGCCATACACAATTCAAGAGCAAAATTGCAAAACTTTTGAAAGCAACCTAGCAGCACATGTTTAGAATTCTCGATGCAGTGTTAAGGATTCGCATATATTTTTCTATTTTTTTTTTTTCAGTCTTTTCATTGCATAAATGTTTTTCAGTAAGATGGCTTAAAAACCTTTATTTTTGTGTCCTTTTATTACTAATATTTTGAGCGTTAACTTTATTTATTAGATATGACGTTCTTCACACTTACGTCACATGAACTTCAGTTCAACAACAAAATCACAAAATATTTAAAAACAGCATATCTATAGAATTTCCGATAGACACTATAGCGCATGAAGTAAAAATAAACAATCTGAAAGCTTTCAGATTTTATATTACCCACAAATAGGCTTTTTTTTTTTTTTTTTTTTTTTTTTTTTTTTTTCCTATTACGCACAAACGGGCGTCCTTTAACAACACATACATGTTTCGAGAGCATTTGTTCTATGTCGCATTGTGGTAAAATATTTAAAAACAGCGTATCTTTAGAATTTCCGAAAGATAGTCTTGCGGGCTGGAGATAAAAATATTTTAATCTGTACAGTGTTGCCAATGCTCGCTATCAAATCATTGAGTTTGGTAATGAAAATTTCATTCAGGTTTTACAAAATATTAAATATGAAATTCAAAATCCAAAATTCGGGCTTCCAGGTGCTCATATTCAGGTGGAGAACAAAGTTATTCAAAATTTAGTAGGTACCGTCAGATTTTCACAATGTGAGGAACATATATACACACAGCATACAAATTCTTCGTCATTTAATTTCGTTAAAGATAATACAGGGCAATAGTATTTGGCGGTAAAAATTTGAAAAGTTATTCGTCGTTTATAGTGGTAAATAAAAAATCCTGATAAAATAAAAATTTAGTGAATTCGCACGGTTATTAAAAGAAGGGAAATGCAAGGCTCAAATCTGCACTACGTAGTATCAGTTGAATTTTTTCCTCAGCGCTTGAATGTCTCCAGTGAAAAACTGGTTTTTATAATCTTCATCTCCAGCAACATAAACCTGTGCCGTTCTAAAGCTATCAATAAACTTTTCTGCAAATAATTTCTTAAAAATTTCAAATTTGCTACAGTAATACCTTTATGGAGTTTGAAATCTCAATTTTTGGTTCCGGAGGCCAGCGCTTTATATTAGGCAACAGAAGCTCGTAAAAGCAACACTAAATTGGTGTTGATTTTAAACAGGATTCAAAATCTATCATTATTTTCTCCCAGCATATTTTGCTTTAGATTCTTGTGTGAAAATTGTTAACATATCTCACTTATAGTTGATAATTACAGTTTATTACTCTTAACTTCAGAATTTTCTTATTTATTGTATTGTATTATATTGTATATTATATGTATTATACATTTTTAAATATTTCATCTGAATTTCTTTTCTTTTTATTAAGATTATTCCATTGGATTTCTTATTTTATTAAAGAAGAAATTTTGGAAGAATATCCATTTAAAAACTAGGCTGTAAAATGAACATTTGAAACGAGCTATCTAAAACTGATGCCTTGTAATATCTTGTTATTTAATAAATAAATATAATTATTGTTGAAGTGGCAACGCCATATTTGTATTAAACCGTTACTCAGCAACGTGAGATATTGTTTTAAAAAAAGATGAGATTCTGAAGATTTTACCAGCTAGGAGTAGTATGAAAATTTGCCACTTAAGAATTGTATAAAATTTGTTTATCACCGTGAACTAGAAATAAAATTTATGTTCTAATAAGAAGGTTGCCTGTTTGTCAATTACTGCAAAATACATTACAGCCTTAAGCGGCAAAAAGTTGAGGTAAAATCAACTTACGCGATCTCCGGCCATCTGGGAAATATCGCCTCTGAGCTCGTTTCCTAATTGGTTACCACTTTCCGCTCCAACGCGTGATAGCAGTGGTGTGAATTGGACTTAAACGGTTAAATTTATTCACACTTTGCAAGCTCGATGTCAGAGAAAATGTCGTAAATAAACTGCAGCGCATTACTCAGCAGATAGAACACTGGTGCACAGTGTGGAGAATCTCTATTAATGCACAGAAGTCTCAGCTTCTAATCATTCACAAAAAGGCGAAAAGAACCCCCGCCGCTGCCAGACTTAAACTTTTCAATGTTGATGTTCCCATAGTGCAAAAAGCAAACTACTTGGGTGCCACTCTTAACAGTAAATTCTCATGGCGCGACCACATTAATAAGGTTCGAGGCAGAGCTATCTCCACGATGAAAAGTCTGTTTCCTTTGATAGGGATTTAGATAGATTTTAGACATTTAATAGAGATGATAGATTTCCTTTGAAATACTCCAAACTGGATCTCCTGAGGCAACAGATATCTCATTTCAAATGTTCATTTTACACCCCAGTTTTTAAATGAATATTCTTCCAAAATTTCTTCTTTAATAAAATAAGAAATCAAGAAGACATGTATATACTGATATTATTTGACCCTTCTTTATGTATGCTTCGCCGGCATAGACGGCGGTCAGCAAAAAGGATTTAAATAAATGGCAAGTTAAGACACAATAACACGCCGAACAAATACTAATTCAGAAGTCAAACAACAAAAAATCAGCGTTATATTTTCAAATTTTCACAGACAAATTTGAAAATATAACGCTGATTTTTGTTGTTTGACTTTGAATTAGTAAATTGCGAGTTGTTCAAAATAAATACTTAAGGCTCATCACCCAAGCACACTTCTACGTGTCAAATGATACTATACACAACGACCTTAATGGTAGAATGGGTAGAAGAATTTATCAATCGTATGAATAGAAATTTCTTTAACAAGGCCACGAATTGCTCACACTTACGAGAATTCAACACCTTCGAATATGTTATACTACCTGAGGAGGCTAATATCAGACTTTACGGGGCCCACCTCACCTGTGACTCAAATTTCCCGACTTAATTGCACCTTATGTATTATATGTGTATATACTACTTATGTATATATTTTGTATTTCACATTTATTCCTTTATTCTCATTTTACAGTACTGACTTATTTTTAGTATATAAAACTTTGTACTTTATGCATTTTCTTATGTATGTTATGTTAACATCAGTCAGTTACCCACACTCTTGTCAAGCCTGTCCTGGTCTTCGATCTTGTTTGGTTTTCTAAAACCTTGTGGTTTTCTAAACTTTCACAGAGCATTTTTAAAACCTAAAACTTTCACAGAGCATTCTGTAGTAAGTATTCTGTAGTGGTGTATGGTCACTTCCTTCTCTTCACCTCAGACCTCCTCTTACTCCGTCCGACTGTTACGTCATGAGCCTCTTAAGCAGACCGGTCACTGAGCCGGCAACATCGCACATATTAGCGATAGCCTGGTAATACATGTATTGATTGACTGATCGATGTCAGATGTCTTGTTTTACAGCTATTGTAACTAACTTAAATCATAGGCAAGTACAGAGTCAGAATATAGTGCTTTAGAAAGATTACCATTGAGTAAATATTGTCTACTTTGCTGCTTTAATTTAATTATCCGATGAATATTTTTGAAATAAATATTAGTTTATATGTTACAGAAGTAACTGCAGTCGAAAAGTGGCAGTAAAATGAAAAAAAAAAAATAAATAAATAAACAAGGATTAGATAGGTAGACTTAGACCTTATAAATGGACAATGAATCAATATGCACAAGAAAAGAAGACACAAAGAAAATTAAGTATTTTATTTTATTTTATAATGAATGTTGAGATTTAAATTCTTCGGCACAAATAACAATAAAGAAAAGTAAATTTAACGGATATATGGCGGGTCTCGATCATAACAACGGCCCCTTAAATCTGCTGAGAGCAATTTTTCCCCTGCAAGACTTTTAAAGTTGATGTAAGCTTGGTATGCATCAGAAGAAGTTTCCTGAACGTCAAAACTCCAGTCGGTAAGTGAAGTCAGTTTCATATCACTGCTCACCACTGACGGAAATATATCTTTGGTAGAAAAGTTTGCTGCTAGCTGGACATCATAGAATAAAGTTTTGGACTTCATGGGAAAAGTTGAGCAAGGATTTCTGCCATAGGCTTCACATCTTATTAGCGTACACGTCTGCTCGCAAAAAGAGTAACGATAATAAAAATCTGTTGATCCATTGAATACCATCAAGTAAAAATTTTCCGTCAGTTTATTGGAAGAATACTTGAGAGAGCAACATACACCGTTAATACATGATTCAATGTGATCACTATCCTTCATTAATTTAACGAAGGAATAATTAATCATATCAACTTCCGTACACCGAAAATCTTTGAGAATGTCTATTGATCTACCTAAAACTTTCACAGAGCATTCTGTAGTAATGCTTGATCCGGCATTAAGCGATTCTCGAACATCATCCAAAGTTATTTCGGTGATACTGGCTTTTCGTGAAGCAAGTCGGTAATCTCTTTTTGGCACTCTAGCGACAACGACTTTTGATACGCCGTCCGGATTGAAGGTATAAGCCAGAGGACCATCAGCTCCGCGGAAGATTCCACTACCTACTGCATAATGCCCTGGAATCTGGATGTTAGCTGCTAAAAGAGTAGTATTATATCCTAATGACCACGATTCCCAAAACTGGACGGATGATGTTTGAGGTGGAATATTTATCCACATGGAAGATAATGCAATAGCATCTACTTGTTTTCTTTGAGCAAAAGCGGACATCTTTGCAAACATAATATCAAAAGAGATGAAAGTTGCAAAAGTACCGAAGTCTGTTACAAATGTAGGATCTTCTTGTTCTGGCGGTAAATCCATACCTAATTCATAGAATAAACGTTCTTTATAATAACGTAGAAGCAGCGTACCATCTCTATCAAAAACGACATTGGTATTGAATTGGTAAGATCCATCTTCTGGACATTCTTTCTGTCCCTTGCAAGATTCGATGCCTCCCATGTTTGCCACAATTACAATTTTATGCTGTTTAGCCATGCAACTCAAGCTAAATAGAATGCGACGGTTTTGATACTTTTCTCTTTCGTTGCAAGGGTTAACTCTACTCTTCTTGGGATCAGGAATCCTTTCTAAGTAGGGTTTCATCTCGTTTCGGTTATGTGCAGGAAATATACCATATTCTGGGAAGACTAAAATATCAGCTACCTGGGAAAAAAGAAAAAATAATATGTGCACAATTATATAAGCATCATTTCCGTTTAAGATATAATTATGAAAGTGAATTTCTAATTTTACTCAAATTAAAAAAAAATATATGCGTAAGGTAGATTCAAAACGGTTTTGGTCTCACGTATAAAACCCTTTTTGGCAATAAATTCCTCTTGTATATAAGTAGGGGCAATAACTTCTTTAGAGAAATCGAGTGCATTCTTTTTTCACTGTTTACTGAATGAAAGGATATGTTAGTTTGTTCTTGAAATTTTTAAAATGGAGCATCACTCTGTGACAAATTTTTGATTAAAGAAGGCACGTCGTTGTTGTTACTTATCTCACTTGTCTGACAGTGATATCAGAAGAACCTCACGAAATTCATCGCAGCAAGGAATGCAAAATTGCATCTTGGTGCAAGAGCCTTGAGCACCATACGGGTGACAGTACAACTTTGCTGAGTTCCGTTCCCAATTTTGGTGGAGAGTACCTCAAGAGAACGGGTTCGAGGGTAACCCACCCCTCTTCCCCTACCACTAACTTCTCGAGAGGATTTTCGGCTCGTCGCATATTTAGTCTCCCCCTGCCGCACAAACACTATACGTATTTTACAAACATCCCTGCTTTTTCAGGGATTCGAATCCGGGACCTTCGGTGCGGCATTCAGCGTGGTTAATCACTATCCCTGTTGGGCGGCAAAGGAGGTGTTAATCCCAAAGAAATAATGAGACGGTAGTACCGTGTGCATGCTGATTCCTCTTCTTCCTAGTTTACAGTGAAATAATAGCTGAAACAGTTTTGCATCTGCGAGAAACTAGATCGACCATTGGAGGTACTGACATCAGAAAATATCGTTAGTATCCAGAAGGAAATATTGAATGAGGAAAGGTTAAAAGTCAAGCAGATAGCAGCGAGATTGTATCTATCTAAAATAACTTTTTTGCATGTTTTGCATGAACAAAACCTCTGAAAGGACACCCTGACTTCTTTCAGCAATTCAGAAAACATTAACGTGTCAATATAATTTAAAAACAGAGCTGGGTATTTGAAGAACTCAGCCATTCCTTCACAATTCATATTTAATTTAAAGTGATTATCTCTTTCCGAAACGAAAGTATAAGCCTTCGTGGTAAGAAATTTAACGATGATGATGGCGTGAAAAGAGCAATTATGGAAATTTTAAAGACAAACCTTCAAATTATATTTTTAGGGGTACAGAATACCTCATTAAGCGACGTGGAAAAAGTATCGAGGTACAAGGGGATCATGTTTAAACTACTATTTGAAATTACTTAATATATAAAATTTTTTGTAGTTCATTCAGAAATATATATTTATAAAACTTTGACTCTACCTAAGTTGTGACATACCATATATTTTCAATGGAGTACAATCCAGTTTAATCAATTCACTCTCTTCATCCCATTACGAGTATCATATAAATACAGTTTCTATGCTTCCATATGATATGTTTTCAAAATGGACTCTGCCGAAAACATCGCAGTCGAAAACGTCGAGGAGAAAACAGGCAAAACGAAAATATTGTCATACAAAATTTTGTGGGAGAAAAGAAAGCAAGGAAAAAAACATCGCAGATCTAAAACATGGTGGTATGAAACATCGTAGTCGAAGATAAGGCAGTTCAAAAGCATCGAAATTTTAAAAGATCGTCGTAAAAAACATCGTGGTAAGAAATAAAGTACCCACAAAACCTCTCATGACGATAACATTGTAGACATGTATTTTACAGACGAAAAGTTGCAAATGCACCTTCGCATAATGATTTAGTATAAGCGCAAGTAAAAATGAGGAATATTACCTTTATTAAAATTGTGTCATATTTTTGGATTAATTAAGAATTCTTATGCTAAAAAGAGGAAGAGCGGATTTAGCATTTAATAGTTAAAAATGAGTGGAATAGTGGAATTTAATTTTACATATACCACTTAATAGAATATTTAATTTAATTGGTTAAATATTAAAAGTCATTATCTAATTACTCTTTTTTTATAAAGCTGTAATGGCAGTTGTTCGTAAAAGATATAGTCTAAAAAAGTTAGAAAAGGGAAGATGAGTAATTGTATGAGGTTACATATATTAAAATTGCTTAGTTAGTTTTCAAATCGTAAAATTATTTTCTTTTATCTTTGTTAATCTGATGTTCTTTTAGTAAGAATTAAGTCTTCTTTTGTTTCAGTTCATCCGTCTTCTTAAAAGTGTCATTAACATTATTTATGTACAACCTGCAGTTAATCATTTAGACGTTGATTCAATAGTTATGACGAAACATATCAGGAGGAAGCTACATAATATTTGAATAGGGGATTTGGATTTATTGAATTGTTGCTAAGACCACCAGGACTATCTGCCTAATTTGAGGGATGCCTTTGTAGCGGACACTCTCAGGAGCTGTCTCACATCCGCATTACATATTAGGAAAACCACAAATATCGCAAGCAATGCGTTCATTCGCTGGGTTCAAATTACCAGTGTTCAGCTACTTTACCCTTTGCCTACTGGTGGCCCTATTTGAGGAAGGGAATATTAACAAAACCTATTAGTTTTTTACATCATTCATTCAGAAGACCCATTTAAAATTATACCTCGAAAATGTGAACGCAGATTTTTCAGAAAGAATACATAATTACAGTTAATCTTCTTGGGGATTATCTTCTTCAGACGATCAGTGTTTCTGAGACCATAAATAAAGCTAGGTATTAAATAATCTTTCAGAGATGACCTCAATGTGCAGAAGGGTAGAAAAATGTGGATATCGTAATCGATCGCTTTAGACAGGGTTTTTTATATTTAATTTTATATTTAGACACTTTTATAAATAATTTAAGAATAATAATAACTTTTTTATGTAATTTATTCGGCATTTTCTTAGTTATTGCTAGAAGTTTTATAACATGCAGTAGCCCATCGTTTTTAGATGACAAGTGCCAAAAGTAACCAGTATGGCTGTGAAGTCTTGGTATTAGATCCCTTTTTTCTAAGACGACCACTTTCATAGAAAGTTAAAGCATTTAGAACAGTAAATGGTTTAGTTTTTCCATTTAGGTAATTTTTATTTCTTTCAGTAAGCATTTAACTTGTCGATGTTTTTATTTGAAAAATCTGAACTTTTTATTGTTATTAAACATACAATGAACATACAATGACCGTACTTAACATACAATGAATCATTCCGTAGCAGCATTTTCTGGAAATGACCAATAATCAGTTTAGGTATGTATAATAGACATATATTATCTAACTGATTGTTAAACACTGGTTTCCTGCTGGCAGAAGCCACCTGTTTCCCATTCTGCCTCAAAAAACGTTTTATATTTTGTCAGTTGCAAATAGTCACTAGAACCACACCAGTTAAATGGTAATTTTTCCGTAAGCTGAATTTTCCCCCCCTTTGTTTGGTTTATTTGATAATGGAAAAGCACTCGACTATCTGCTTAAAGGGAGGGATACCTTTGTGGAGGACTTTAAGAAACTGGCTCGGATACACATTACCACGAAACCACGAAAACGCCCATGCAGTCAAACCGTTCACTGTATTCGAACCTCTGACCATATTACCAGCGAATAGCAACTTTACTGCTCGGTCACTGGTAGGCTGAGCAGAAAAATGTCAGCAACGCAATTTGCAATTTGATTTATTTTTAGTACATTTGGAATCAGTTTTCCTAATTTAAGAAGAATTAACACTTTTAATCCAGTGCTGAATATAGATTAAAAGATTTAATAAAATTTAAATTCGAGCTTCTAGTTTCATTTAACGAACATTTTTTTACTGAGAAAAATTAGTAAACAGAATTTTTAAATTCGGAGTAAATTATTTAATAATTTTAAAACGGCGCACATTTAAAGGAATATGTCGTTAAATTAAATGTCAGATCCTAGTTGAATATCAACATAATTAAACTGAAATAGCTACAGTAGACAGCTAGAAGTAATATGCAAATGAGAAGAAAGACACAGAGAGAGAGATGAGACTAGTCAGAGCAAAAATAATGTTTTCAAATGCCCAGCAGCAGTGAGTTAGCTTTCCAACAAAGCGCGGTTAGGGTTGCCAGAAAGTGGCAGGTAAAGGCAGGGTTGCCAAATTTCGAGCGAAATCACCCATTTGTCAACATACTTGGCTTGAGAGTGATCAACTGAGTCGGGGGTTGTACTTTAGTGCTTTGGCGTGAAGCTCTCTTTACCGTTATAACCTGTTGCTGATTGGTTCAGCCAGTTTATCGTAATTTTTCGACGACTGTAAACGTGTCTTTGGAACTCTACTGTGCAATGCTGGCGAATAAATTGCGTTTTGATTCTTCATCAAGTGTTGTCATTAATCATTCCGAACACACGAACCCGCAGAACGCGACAATATTTATGTTGAATTAAAAGGGAAAGCGTTTTAAAATACATTAGTTCAGCAGGCGGGTTATAGTTATCCGGTATCCGCCGAAAACATCGCGGAGAAAACAACGCAAGGCGAAAACATCATGGTACGAATCATCGTGGGATTTTTCATACATCTGCGTTTCATTTTTCAAGGTATAATTTTAAATTTGTGTTCCGTGTAGTGCCTAAGGGCAGAGCACGTAATAAAAAAAAAAAATTTAAATTTGTAGCTTCTCAATGAATTATATAAAAACTAATAAATTTCCATTCGTCTTCCCTTCCTTAAATGGTGAGCAGTAGCCGAGAGTTAAAGTAGCTGAACACTGGTAGTTTGACGCAGGGAACTAACTTACTGCTTGCGATTTTTGTGCTTTTCCTAATATACGAGTATAACGTGAATATGAGAAAATCCTGAACAAAAGCATATCTGAACTTAGATAGACTAGTGGGCTTTGTAACAGTTCAATAAATCCAAATCCCCTACTGAAATATTATGCAGCTTCCTCCTGATATGTTTTGTCATAAGTAATGAATCAAAATCTAAACGATTAACTGCAGGCTATACATAAAAATGTTAATGACACATTTAAGAAGACGGAGAAACTGAAACAAAACAAGATTTAATTCTTACTAAAACAATACCAGATTAACAAAGGGAAAAGTAAGTAATTTTACAATTAAATAACAAATTAAACAATTTTAATGCATATTTAACCTCTCATTCCTTTTCTAACTTGTTTTAGACTATATTTTTTTCACGAAAAACTGCTAGTACAACTTTATAAAAGAAAGTAATAAGGTAATGGCTTTTAAGTACATAAATAAAAAATAATATTAATTGTTTATTAATTGTCTACTCATTTTCAGTTACTGAATGCTAATGTTTCCTTCTTCCTTTTTTAGCAGGAACATTATTAATTAATCAAAAAATATAAAATATGGAGGTAAATATATTCCTTATTCTTCTTTGCGCTTAGAAGTTATTATGCGAAGATGTATTTGCCTGAATTATGCCTGAATGTATTAAAGCCCGAAAACCACGTTTCTCATGTTATTGTCATGTGATGATTTACAGATGCTTTGCTTTTTACTATGATGTTTTTTATGACGATTTTTTAAAACTGCGATACTTTTGAATCATTTATTTCGATGAGGATATTTTAAACCACGATTTTTTCCTTGCTTTTTTTCCTCCTTCGATGTTTTCTACGATGATGTTTTTGTATTGCATTAAGAGTCCCTTATGATACACAAGATCTCCAAGAATGATCGCAGAACTTTATAAAGTCTCTGGAGCGAACATTTGTACGAAATGATGCTCCATTCAGTACTCAATCGAGCTTCAAAGCAAGCTAAAAGGAATATTATGTACAAATGTAGCGCTACCTAGTCGGTGATTTGATAATTACATTTCAAAAAGAATTTGATGAAAAAGAATTTGAGAAAAAAGAATTTGATGTTTATGGCTTACTTGATACGATAATTAGTCCTAATTATTTTTTAAATGATTTACATTCTCTCGCGAGAGGTCAAGAAGTTCTTAGTCGAACTACCGGCAGATCACGATCGACAATTTGGCAATGACTTTCTTAAAATGAATATAGGAGTTCACTTTCACTTACTTTTGACTTGGCTATCTGTACTGCTCTTTTGTAGTGAGCCAAGTTTTCAAATATAATATCATCTGCTGTTGCTTCCGACAAATTCACAAATTGTGCCGATGGACGGGCATGCTCATAGACGGCTGCAGTGAAGTATTCAGCTTCATTCGATAAGGCCACATAGAAACAGAGATAGAAGAACAGAAAACAGGCTCCATAATGTCTCATACTAAACATTTTGAGAAAGAAAAGAAGTGACTTGCAAAATAGTACAAATCTACATGATTTATCTACAAAGATTTCCAAGAATGATTAAAATTAATATACCTACACAGCTTTTTCATGATAACATAACAGAAAGCAGAATTATTCACACATTATATATCTGTTGGCATATTATATTAAAATGCACATTCTCCAATGAAAATATCTAGTATTTACTTGGATCAGAAGAAAGTATGAGCGCATTAATAAAGAATTTTAAAAATCATTTTCCTGAATTTCATCACTAAATTACTCGTATATACAGGCTGTTTCAAATAGTACATCGTAGTTTTGCAGTTATAGCTTAAGATACTATCCTATAAGATAAATTTCAGTTTACGAAAATTTGGATACGATACCTTCTGGTATATGTATATAAAATTAAAATTGTTATACCAGCCTTCTGAGACGAATACTTTGCATTAGTAAGTCATTGATTTTTCTGTTAATGAAAATAAAACTAAATATAATCTTGTTTAAAGTTTGACTACATTTAAAAAAGTTTACATATTCACTTATCTGGGAGCGGAGATGAATTGTTAAGATGAGATAACTTTTGAAACACTTACTGAATCTCTGCTGCAAATAGATGTTTTCATGGCCTGAACAGCTATTTAACTCGGTCGCGGACACTTAACCGACCACAGTTAGCCGACAAGACATTTAGCCGACAGCGACACTTAGCCGACAAAACATTTAGCCGAAATGGACACTTAGCCGACAGGACATTTAGCCGACACGGACAGTTAGCCGACATGACATTAAGCCGACAATGAGTCTAGCTCTTCCCAATGCTTTTAAATTTCTAATACTTTGACATTTCATTACTACTTTGCTCAACACATCACACTACATTCATTCCCGTATAAAGTCGTTTCGCTCCTCCTACTAATGAAATTTCAGTGACATTACCGCTCAGCCGCTGCTGGACTAACAGAAATAGAGTGACCATTTTACTTAATCTATAACCAGTCTCTTCCAATAAAAATTGCCTTTTTAGGCTAGAACTTTATAAATGCATTCAGGAAAATGGGCACCAAAAACTTCCCTATTACCATAGAGCTAAAACAAAAAACGGGAAAGAAAAGGAATGAAAGAGAAAGAAAAAATTAATGAAAAGTGAAATGAAAATTTATACATTTTTAACAGATATTGAGAAAGTTACATTTTATAAGAAAAACATGAAACAATATAACATATTATATTAAAAATTACACATCGCGACTTTTATTTTTTGAAACCAGTGTACATAATATTATCTAGTTACATGACCAAGGCCAACTTATACTCAAGGCTTGCCCAGTGTGAAAATATTCTTTTGTGTTTTCGGTGGCCTTCGTGAAATTTCTACTGACCGCAAGAGGGCGCTACTATTCCGCTACGCTTTGCGACGTTAACAATGAGAACAATGGTACCCGAGACAAATAATTATCTTGTTATATGTAAAATTTAAAAACGCTTAATCTGTAGTAGTCAGAAATTATACATTTCTTTTTAATAAAAATATTTTTATTTAGAAAGAAAGCATGAAATTTCAAGTTATTTTCAAATTATGTTAATTTTTCTTTTTTCATATATAAACAAGACCTGATCTTGATTTTAATTCCTGCTTACATCTAGAGTTATCTATTCCAATTTAAGGGTAATTTAGAGCATGTGTTTTACTTTTAAATTATTTATATAGTACGAAGTTAGCAGGTAGCTTCAGAACATAAACTATTTCAGCGCAAAATTTTCAAGTTGTCCTGTACAACAAAATAATTTAGAGCCACTATTAAATATGTAATTGAGAAATTAATAAATAATGAACTAAAATTTGTTAACGCATAAGAGAAAAAGTATTTATAAAAGAGATTTGGCCTTGCCGCAACCAAGACCAAATTATAAGTAAGTACAGTTCAAAGTAGTAAGTACAGTTCAAAATAGCGTATATCTAGATGTAGGCAGGAATTAAAATCAAAATCAAATAGCTGACAGTTATATATAAACAAAAAAAAAATGGAATAGCTTGAAATTTCATGTTTTCTTTCTATATAAAAATATTTTTATTAGAAAGAAATGTATAATTTCTAACTACTACAGATTAATCGTTTTTAAATTTTGCATATAACAAGAGAATTATTTGTCTCGGGTACCGTTCTGTCGTTGTTAACGTCGCAAAGCGTAGAGCGATCTTGCGGTCGGTAGAAATTTCACTGAAGCCACCGAAAACACAAAAGAATATTTTTCACACTGGCAATCCTTGAGTATAAGTTGGCCTTGATTCTACAAATACAACGGCAGCATTCACCGGAGTCACAGTTCGGGAGGGTGACCTCCCACGTGACTATGGACTTCGTGTTTTCTTCCTCTCTCTGCTGCATCTCATATCTGCAAGCCATGCTATGTTTTCTTTGTAAGAAGGTTGATCCAAAAAAAAAAAAAAAGTTTACAAGCAGAAGCATTTGAAACGTAATAATTGTGGAGCGAATATTTCCACCCATGGTGGTTGACATATGGCGCTAGTTGTGGAACGAATATTTCCACCCAGGGTGGTTGACAGATGGCACTAGTTGTCCTACAGAGGTTCTACGAGTAAGTAGCGTCAGTACGCAGACACTTAAGAGCGACAGTAATGGCATGACGTCTAGAAAAGTGGTCTCGCATAGAGGTGCGAGCGGTAATTCGATTCTTACGGGCCAAGAATGTGGCCGCATCCGAAATTCACAGACAAATCGTTGAGGTATACGGGGACAAAGCAATGAGTAGACAACAGGTAGCGAAATGGTGTCGTTCTTATCAAGCAGGCAGGGAGCATGTGGAAAACCGCAATATGGAAGCGAGCGGCCGTCCAAGTTCTTCAAGGACGGATATCAACACGGCACGTGTTGAAGAAATCATCCAAAGGGATCGACGAGTAACCGTGCGTGAGATTGCCTCAGAGTTGGACCTGAGTAATGGTAACGTTCAGCGTATCGTAACAGATGAGTTGCGATATTCCAAAGTTTGTGCCCGCTGAGTTCCACATGCGTTGTCCGCGGACCATAAGGCCACTCGAATGATGTGCAGCCTCACATTTCCTCAGCGATACCATTCAGACGGGCAACACTTCATTGATCGCATCGTTACCGGTGATGAAACATGGCTTTATTACTTCACCCCCAACCCATCCAAAAGAGCCACGATGGAGTGGAAACACGCTGGATCACCGACGAGGAAGAAGTTTAAGCTCAAACCCTCTGCCGGTAAAGTGATGGCAACCGTTTTCTGGGATACGACTGGTGTTATCCTAATTGAGTATTTGGAGCGTGGCCATACCATTAACATGGACCTTATAAGAAATAGGCTAACCCAATTGCGTTTTCTCCCTTGTCTGGCGCGTTCCCGGCTGTCACCTTGATCACATCCGGAGGAGAAGGGACGACTTCCAGAAATTAGCAATGGTTGGCTATTGCAGCGCGTACAATTGTCACGAAAACGCTGGTGGTAGTGCCTCATTTCACAAGTAAGAATTTTTAAATATTTTTATTTTTGACACTGAGATTGCTTTTTAAATACTTAGCATGTTTTTCAAGCATAATTAACGTTCTAAATAATTATAAAGCTGTTGCATGCTTTCAGGCTTGTATATATTTTTAGCTTTTCCTATGATGTAAGCGAATTTGTAACTTCTTTTAGAAAATAATATTTTAAATCTGAACTAACAGAAAAATTCAACCAAGTAATTTTCTCTTACAATTACTAAAACTATAACTACTACTAAACTATAACTAAATACTAAAATGCCTAAAAATGAATTTTTGAAAGTTTTTCTTTAAAATTTATCATTTTTTGCTGCTTTTTTAAATTATAGGTAAATTTTAATTCCTAGCATTATAACTAATCAAAAATAAGAATATTTAAGAACGAAAAGTATACATCTTATATAGCTGGTTTTGTTGTTAAAAGCTTAGCTTATAAAGTAAAATGTAATATCTGTTTCTCAGCTTTAGTTTCAACAGAACCATATGTTGGTTTGCTAGGTTTCAAATATTATAAATCTGGATGTAAAGGTTTGACTTCTCCTTCCAGTGACGTCCGAATGATCTGCAAAAATGCAGAAATAATTTTTAGGCAGACTGAAAAGGAGTTTAAATTGAATAAAAAAAATATTATAAATATTAAAATTTCATGACTCTAAAAGTCTTAAAAAGCGTAGGAAAACATATATTTCCTTCTCTTCAAGACCATATTTATGATGATGAGCCAGATAAAAACCACCTGATTAAATTAATTAAAGCAGTGATATTTCAATATTTAAAAATCAGAATGCATCATGCAGTTGCATGTTACAATGAATCTAAACAGAGAGAAAATATTCGAAGCAGATTTACTAAATTAATTTTATTTAAGCATCAATAAACCATATTATCTGTTTCTCTTCCTCTCTCTCTCTAAATATATATATATATATATATAGGTGTGTGTATTTACATTAATAGATAAATAGATATAATCTTGTTTTCACAAATATTTGAAATAAAAAGTGAAGTAAGCGAATTTTTCAATGCAACAAAAATATCCTAAATTGTTTACTTTCATACATATGTATTTATGGATGTATAGTCATTCTGCTTAAAGTATTTACAGGTATATAAAATTACAAGGTTACTTTTTAAAATTTAAGATTGGACATATAATATCTTGTATTTTATAGTAATTAATTTTTAAATTTATTTCTAGTTCCGCACAAGATTTTTTTTATTTACTGCGAATTTTTTTTTAATTTTTCATTACACTCAGAAAAGTTTATGCTCCGAATTTTATGAGTTATTAATATTGTCATAAATGATCATCTTTTAATACCAAAATAATTTTGAAAACAGAAAAATAAATAAAACAATCCTTGGTTTCTATAAACATTTGAAATGATAAATATTTGCTACTACTGCTTGAAAATGCTCATAAAATTTTTAAAAAATTACCAAATCTTGTTTAATTTTACCT